TGAACAGCATTTTATCTTTTTAATTATGGAAGGGAGGTTTAGTATGCAATAATAATTTACATACCTTTTTGAAGAAAAACAATACTAATGATTCCTTACAGAAAACTTTAAAAATCAGCCCATTACATATTTCTTCTGTGATTCTTTTCCCTTATTCTTTAGTTCTAAGCCAGTTAATCTTTGTCTCCTATATTGCTCATAGCTTTCTGAGGTTTTGGTTATTTTCTGCTCTATTCTTCCCACGAGATACCAATTATGATGAAATAAGGAACAGTTTCTCTTAAAATTAAATTAAATATTGACATGAATAAAATAGTACATCACTGACTTGAATCCAGTGTGCTAAGGATAAAGGACTAGAAAATATTCTTTAAATAACCAGACTGTTTCCTGCATCATCTCTCCTACTCCATTTGCCTGTATTTGTGTATATTTTATGATATAAACATAAATACTTATATAAATCCAGTATACGTCTCAAGATCAGAATGCTCTTCTCCTCCCGGAGATAAAAGGTGAATGTTGGTCTAGAGAAGGTGAAAGTTGATTGCATTAACTGATCAGCATCGCATGGGAAAGCACTTGCAGTTATAACTCTAAGAACAAAATGTATTGAGATGTAAGAAAATAAGAACTTGATTTCTAATGCACCTGTAGTGATAAAAACTGGGAAAAAGAGCTCTCATAAATTCCATTGAGGTGAGAAGCTACAAAAGTCAGAGCCCAAAACTGGCATAAATGGTGGAATAAAGATACAAATCATGTCACACCTTAGTGATCTATTTTGCTTAGGCATAGAGGCAATCTGTGGTTCAACAAGAGCTGTTTTAAAGACTGTCCTACTAAGAACACAGATTTACAAGGCTAATTGGAAAGGGCCAGTAAACTATGATGTAAAGATTAAGAAGTAAGATGTTCCAGTTTTGTTCAAAAGTGAAAGAAAATTTTTGAAGTCAGTCCCACTAAATTCACACATCTTAGAAGATGCAAAGGAGATGCTGAATCAAGACTGAGAAGCTCAGACTGTGGATGAAGATTGTGTGTTACAGCTAGTGATCACTATATGAAAAAGTAACTAATACACTGAAGTTTTAATGCCATTTGTATGGTTAGACTACATAGAGCCATAACCTAAAATCGCACCAGCAAAGTGTGACATGGACTACCTGTAGTGCAAGGACACACCTCCCACCAACAGACTGCTGCCCACCCAGGCTCTGAACAAAAGATACTTCGGAAAAACTTCCCACCCAAGTTTATGACTGGGCATGATGCTGTATGGTATGGGATATCCCTTTGGTCAGTTTGGGTCAGCTGTCCTGGCTGTGTCCACTGCCAGCCTCATGCCCTCCACTAGCCCACTTGCTGAGGGGGCAATGAGAGAAACAGAGAAAGCTTTAACACTGCGTAAAGCACTGCTCAGCAGCAGTTAAAACACCGATCTGTTACAAACACTTTTGGTTACAGATCTAAAGCATAGCACCATATGGACTGCTACGGAGGAAAATGACATCCCAACCTCAGCTAGTACACTGGGTTATATTCTGTTATGTGGGTGCAGCAGAAACTGCTGCTGCTGTTGTGTGTTATGGTGATCAGTGGTAAGATAAAAACAAAAGACTGATGTTCCATTACAGACTATTAACTTCAGTAGCTGTGGTAGATATAAAAAAAAAAAGTCAATGTTTAAAGATAAATACCCAAAAACATTGTACATTGCAGGAGCATTCTTCAGTGATAAAAACCAAAGGCTTTTTTTGTTTTGTTTTGTTTTGTTTTTTTTTCTTTGAGCATATTGCATGAAAATTATTTCTGAAGGGAAGCAATTTTATGTGGAAACTATGGTGTCTGATATATATTCAAGCAATAAAATAATTACAAGATCTGAGTTGCTGTAAAAATTTAAAATGCATTTTCAATGTTCTATTGGATTGGAGCTTGTATTTCAAGTGCTCAAAACCACAGTTCTTTTGAATCTGCTGTGCTTTAGTTGTAAAGTTAACATACTTCTGTCTGATGAACTTGCTCCATTTTGGATGCCTGTTATGTATCACCTTTTCTTGATTGAGTTTAAAAGTAAATCTGTATCTAGGTGACAAAAATGGAACATTCATTAGACACACATATAAACAATGCTAGCCCCTTTGCTTTATTTCACTTTTAAAACATAAAATTGTTTGGTTCCCATATTATATTGCAGGGGCTTTTTGGGGGTTTTTGGTTTCATGAAAATTCTTTTAACAGGCTAATGAAAAATCTAAATGTTTGATTTTACAAGACATAATGATGAAAACAAGTGTGCATCTGAAAAGAGAGCTAAAATGTAGTTGTGTCCTGGTTTCAGCAGTGGCAGTCATTTTGCTCCTTCTTAGTAGCTGGTGCAGTGCTGTGGTTCTGACTTTTGCTGAAAACACCAATGTATTTTGTTGTTGCTCAGTAATGTTTACTCTGACCAAGGACTTTCTGAGTCTCACGCACTGCTGGGGAGGAGGGGAAGCCCGGAGGAAGCAGACACAAGACACCTGACCCAAACTAACCAAACAGGTATTCCATGAAATAGCACGTCATGCCCAGGATGTAAAACTGGGAGCAGTTACCTGGAAGGGCTAAATCACTGCTCGGGTTGGGCTGGGTGTCTGTCGGCAGGTGGTGAGCAGTTGTATTCTCTTCCCTTGTTATTTCCCTTATTATTATTATTATTATTGGTGGTAGCAGTACAAATGAAGTTCAGTAAATATGTTCCATTAAATGTTATGTCATCTAGTTGTTAGAGAAACTGGCACAAATTGCTGTTCAGACGATCTAAAAGGACAGAAGATGGTTTTCCTGGAAATGAAATTTTCATTTTGATTTAATTATTACTAGTGGTTATTAAACAACACAAAGCATGCCACTGTGTGCCTGGCTACATCTTCCCTCCAAAATATGTGTATTTCTGTGAAAACCTGAGAAATGTTCTTCCCAGTAGCGTCCTGAGGGAGTCAAGGCAGAGACAGTTTTTTCCTCAGTATTGAAGTTACCTATGTGTTTCCTGAGACATGGCACACAGTGCATGTCCACAAATGCATACACCATGGGGAACAAATGAGGCTATGATCTCACTGGGGTCGCAAAGATGTGGTGGGATAACCCTAATGACTGGGGTGTTGTGATAAACAGATGCAAGCTATTTAGAAAGGACCCAGCGGGAGGGTGAGGAGGGGAATCTGCCCTTGAAGTGAGAGAGCAGTTGGGGTGCCTGGAGTTCTGCCTATGGGTGGGTGATGAGTCAGCTGAGAGCTTATGGGTCAGTGATATTGTGGCTATTTGCTGCTGACTACCTTATCAGGAAGAAGTTGATATGACTTTCTTCAGACAGATGAAACAAACCTCCTGGGGGACTTCAAACACCCTAATACTTGCTGGAGGAACATCACGGCAGGGCACAAGTAATCCAAGAGGTTTCTGGAGTGCATTGGGAACAACTTAACAGAGGTAACCAATGAGCCAGTCAGGAGTGGTGCTCTGCTGGCCAAACGGGGAAGGATAAGGTGGGATGTGTATATTGGGGGCATCCTTGTCTGTAGTGACTATGAGATGGTAGAGTCCAGCATCCCAAGAAGAAGGGCCTAAAGCAGATTTAAAAATCTGGACTTCTGGAGAGTAGACTTTGGCCTGTTCAGGGACATGCTTGAGGTAGAGTTTTGGCAGTATAGGATCTCCAGCATCTCTAAAGGAAATAGTCTTGTAAAGAAATGAGATCAAGAAGAGCTGAATGATTTTCAAGGATCGTTGCCTGCAAGCTCTGCTAAACAGGGAGTACCTGTCTAAACTCAGACAAGAAAAGTAAGCAAACAAGAGGTGAAAGCAGGAGCAAGTGACATAGGAAAAATATAAAGATACTGCCAGAGCATGGAAGGATTAGATTAGGAAAGTTACAGCCCATCTGTAGTTGACACTGGTGATGTGAGAAACACCAAGAAAATCTTCCACAGGTGTGGAAGCAAGAAAGGCTATGGAAAATGTAACTCTGCTGTTGAATGGGACAGGGGATCATGTGACAAGAGACATGTAAAAGGACAAGGTACTCAGTGCCTTCTTTTCCTTAGTCTTTATTGGTAAAGACTGGTCTTCAGGCCCCTGAAATCAGAGGTAAAGTCTGAAACAAGGAAGACTTACCCCCAGTGGAGGAGTTCGCTAATGATAAAAATTGCGAGAAGTGGCTGACGTACTACCATGTCCTTTCATGACAGTTGCGATCGTTATTTTCCCATTAAAAATAATTCCGTTTATTTCTGATGTGTTTTATAATTTTGGTGTTCAGACTGTTTCTTAGTCTGTATACTCTCTGATGTTACAGTGACTGTTTTCATAGGTGCTCAGACTGAACATACTGAACTTGTGTAATTTCCGCTAGTAGCTATAGTAAAGGAAAATGTACTTGACCATTGGTTCATGTATTTTCTGGTGATAAGGACACAGAATAGCATAATGTTTGGTGCCACTTACTTTTACTCTATGGGCAGATCGTCCTATGCATAAGCCGCATCTGGAAAAGTACAAAAAGTAACATGGGTCAGCAGCTGCCTCAGATGAACAGAAATATCGCTGGATTGAGAGAAGACAGGAGCATACTGCAACAGTCCTGTTTCCAAGCTTTTGTAGCTGAGTGATTTTTGAGGTTACTTGATATTTATAGGCATTGCTTCTTTCAGTATGACTTGATGTATATGATGCACTATTGCAACTTTATTGAAACCTGATCTGTATATTGTTTGGTTTGAATTTTAATATTACATCGGTTGTTCTCATGAGAACACAGAATGCCGGGTCAGGACAACTGCAAATACTAACTACATTGTTGGCAAAAGAAATCAGATCTGCTCAGGTTTCTGCGGGATGAGAAAAGGTCACCTTAACTTACTAGAATGTCACAATTCTTATTCATTTTGAAAAGCATCATAAGTGAAGATATCAGTTATCATAATGTCTTGGGTTCCACAGCAGCAGTCATTTTCCTCCTTCTTAGTAGCTGGTGCAGTGCTGTGGTTTTGACTTTCGGCCTGGGAGCAGCGCTGATAACACCGATGTTTTTAGTTGCTGCTCAGTAATGTTTACTCTGACCAAGGACTTTCTGAGTCTCATGCTCTGCCAGGGAGGAGGGGAAGCCGGGAGGAAGCATAGACAGGACGCCTGACCCAAACTAGCCAAAGAGGTATTCCATACCACAGCACGTCATGCCCAGGAGGTAAAACTGGGGGCAGTTACCTGGAAGGGCTAATCACTGCTCAAGTTTGGCTGGGTGTCTGTTGGTGGGTGGTGAGCAGCTGTATTCTCTTCCCTTGTTATTTCCCTTATCATTATTATTATTGGTGGTAGCAGCAGTGGTTTGTGTTATACCTTAGTTACTGGACTGTTCTTATCTCAACCCATGGGAGTTACATTCTTTTGATTCTCCTCCCTATCCTTCCGCAAGCTGGGGGAAGAAGAGGGGGTGAGACAGCGGCTGTGTGGTTCTGAGTTGCCGGCTGGGCTTAAACCATGACACATAACTATTTGCACCTCTGAATGTGCTTCTGTCTTTGAGGATGATTTTTTTAACAATTTTCATGCGTGGTCCTACAGCATGGGCTCCAGCTTAGCCCTTAAATGGACTTTCCGTAACTTACAGCATTATCCTGTGGGGTATAACTCAAGATTGAATGAGATCCTTTACAATTTTAGACTACTGTTTCAGATCTGGTTATATCCCTTTCATATTGCCATAATAAGAGGGAAATTCTTTTTACACCCCCAGAAGTAAAGCTAGATTTCTCTAAATCCATTATAACTGAGTAATTCAATGATGCTATAAGGCAGTATTAGTCTCATGCAGTTAAAGAAAAAAGATTGAAATACAGAAAAAAAAAGTCTTGTTCCACCTGACACAGGACACAAATATTAATAATATCTGCCTCAAGGTAATAAGCATTTGAGATATTTAAGAAGAGCAGCAGCTTAAGATAGACTTTAGTACACACCTGCTCTCTCCTTCAATTGTAGGTATGAATAGAAAATCTTATATGCAAAATCCGTATACAGTACACAAGCTGTTGAGGTCCCATTCCCACATGGGATGAAGTTTGCTCAAAAGTAATAACCTCAACACATATTTGCAATGTTTGTAGTGATATTGTGTATTTAGTCTGTAAAGTTTTGGTAGCAAGAACTATCTGTGGTAGTAGAATTTTTGCCTAATGGTACCATCTGTGACAGAAGCAACCAATAACACACTCCATTCAGAACCAGTGACTACACGGAGATGAAAAATAAGCATATTTTGACATGGAAATCTTGCCTGACATACTGTATATCTAATGCGTACACTACTTTGTACATTTCTGAAAAATCTGTTTCTTTTCAAATAGACCTGATTTTCAGTGGACTGAAAGAATGGAAATGAGTAAATGAATATTAATTTTCTTGGCATTTAGGGATCATTTTACCTCTATGTTTACTTGTTTGCCTGTCTTTGTTCTATTGTGTTCCAAAAAGCACAGTGGAAATTATTTCAAAGACTCAGTGAGAGACAATAAAATTAACTTCTGCACTGGTGACAGCATCTGTAACTTTCACTGAAGAATTTAATAGAAGTTGCAGGTGCTCAGCACCAATTTGGATTAGTCACTAAGAATGTGCATGGCAATCTTACTCAAGGTGTAATGGCCAAATAATAAATCCCTTTATAAAAAAGATGAGAGAAGCTTAATAATGGTGGAGTGAATGCTGCTGCTGTTATAAAACTTCTATGCTTTGTTGCAGATTAATGCTTACACTTAAAGTAAAATGTGTCCTTATTTTCGTTAAATTATATGATTTTGTGATGGTAGATGCATATTTAGTTATTAATCATTCATATAACTTTGAATTGATACTGGCTAAATCCACCTCTGTAGAGGTGGATTACATGATTAATCCTTTTTACCTGTGATTTAACTCATTTCCCTTTCACTTAATAAAATACCTTCACCGATAACAATGTTATGTTATTATGTTATTATGTTATACAATGATACTCCTACTTTTCTAGTGACTTAGTCTAACTAGCCTATCATGTTAATACAGGAGTTAAGTCACTCATTAATTCTGTCTGCAAGTATGACACCCAAGGAAGCAATTTGTGTTTGGTATAATTGCTGTCATTTGAAAAGCCATTTTTATGAAGCAAATTATTTTTTAACACATTCACTTCCTTATTATCAATCTCATAACTGATAGCATTTTCTACTTACTCAGGCATCTCATCTCCCAGGCTCGAGATTAAATTTTGCTGACGTATCACCTAAATCCTTTCCTTGATTTATACCTTGCCTTCTGATACTAAATCAACCTGTAAGCCACTACACCATTTGCATGTCCTTGCCATGCTGGATAGCGTTGTAGTCTCAATGTTTTAAAAACATAAAGGCATTCAGCAGCAATTACAGAGTTGCAAAGGTGCTATCAGGTGGCTGTGGCTGATCAATAAAAAATTTCTATCTGGACTTCCCCTATGACAGAAATACCTTGGCTCTTGACCTTGCACTTCTGTGACATACTACATGTCAAGATATAGCAGATGGTAAGGGATGCAATGAGAGGTGACATTGCACTCTGCTTTTGACTGTCTTTGACTCTAACTGCAGCATTTATATTACTCCGCCTTTGCCTCAACAACTTGAAAACTGAAAAGTTGTCACTGGCCCTCCATCACCTCTGACCATCATTCTTCTGCATTAGACTCACTTGCTTTTCTGTATTTTTCTGTTTTCCTTTCACATAGCATTTCTCTCCTGCATTTTATTTCTTCTACTAATGCATATTCCTTTTTCTTCTCCCTAGGGTATTTATTTTTGTGTGTGAAAATTGGTTCTTTTGGTGAATCAATTTATTGCATCTTCAGAGAAGATGTTCTCAATTGCAGAGAAAGGGCAAGTCATAGATTAGCTCTGGCCATACAGTCCAGCAAGAGAAGCAATAGCAAAAAGTAAAACAAAATAAAAAAATCTATAATGTAGTTTTCATTATGCTTTTCCCTGCAACTGAAAGAAGAGAACTGCAGATCACTATTTTCATACTCTTAACTGCAAGTTAAATAAGGCATACAGAGTAAACAGTAGATATTATTTTCAAGAGCATATGGATAGAGCACAGGTACCCCTTATATTTAGAGTTCAAAATAAATGTTGCTGCAGCTGCTAATGGGACTGAGATGCTGCTATTTTAGTAAAAGTGCCTGACTAGTGGAAATTGCATTACATGCAAATTACTGTTTTCACAGATTACACTATTGTTACACAGCTGTTTTTGAAAACTGAAGTCTGTCTTTCTCATCTCCTTCATCATAACTAGGTAAGCAATCAAATGAAATTCATTAAACTCACTGCAAGGTGAGGGTTTTCTAAACAAAGTCCTAGAATTTGGCTATGTTACCTCCAGTAACATCATTGCAACTGCATGGCTAAATCCCTAAGTATCACTTAGAAAATGTACTAGCTGGTGTCAGACTTATTAGCGTGATTATACACGAGGTGCTAAAGAGGGAAGGTAATCATACCTCTGCATAATTGGTTTTCTCTAACATGGATAGCACTGGGTTTCAAGTCAAACACTGAAAAAATGTCTGATGTATTCCCCTTATCACCAAAAGGAAAGTATAGCTTCAGCAAGCTGATACTCATTGTTTCACAGTTTTTAGAAGAATTAGGACTGCAGTTCTCACAGCACTCTCAACACAGGCTTCAATATCTGAAAAAGGAAAAAAAAAAAAGCGCAATAAACCAACACATTGGCCACCAAGTTTAGAAAATCCTTAAAATGCCTTCAACAAGAAAGAAGCAGAATGCAGTAATACTGTAAAATAATGTAATCTGTAGGGTGAGGGGAGAAGAGAGGCTAACAAAACTGATCCTTATTTTACTAAGGATTAAGATTTTGCTTAAATTTGTGTAAATAAAAGTGGATGCCATGCTTAAACAACTGGAGGAGGACATCAGTCCCATTTATATATTTTGAAAACCAGCCACTCTGCAAAACTGTAATGAATGTATAATTCTATTTGCTTCCATTCATAAAGAATTAAATAACTAATTGTTTATAAATTCTTTATCTCATTCATATAATATATGTGTTGCAGGTAATGGATGTGAAAACATGCATGAATCCACAAAAATCTGAACCAAACGCATGAAAATTAATTGAGAAGTTTGAGAATATTGGAATTTTTTTAATCTTTAAAGAAGAAATTTCATGCATCCCATCAGAAACAGGTGCAATTCTATATTACTAAGCTGACATTAATAAAAGAGGAAAAAGGGTAAAATCCTATCTTTTTGAAGTCAAGAGCAAAACCCGTCTTCACTGTGTTGAAACCAGTATTTCCCAGTGATTATAAGGAAACTACACTATGCAGATCAGGCAACATGTATCCGTTGAAACAGATACACAATTTACTGACAAAACAAGCTACAGGTAATAACAAGCTATCACAGGTAACAAATATCTGTAAGAAAAGGAATAAAAATTATTCATTACCCAACCAATGACTTAGACTCATAATAAATGCTCCCTGGAACAAGGTCTGCCAGCACATGAAGGAATAGCAAAAATCTTCGATAAAACAAGACACATTTCTAACTTCAAAAATATGTTTCCATTATGAAACACAGTCTGGAAAATAAGAATTTACATTCATTGAATATAAATGGTCCACTAATTTCATTAACCATAAAATATGCTGTTTCAAAAAGTGAGATTGACAAAGAAAATCTATCTTTAAAATATGTTTAACTATGAATCTGATTCTTTCCTTGACTTTTTTCTAGTAACATTTTAAATCTTAAATGCAAGATTTTCATAAATATATAACATATACATCCAATTTAATGATTTAAAAGATGACAGCACTATGGGGATAAAAATGTATTTTCATCTAGAGTGCTGATATTATTCTCACATGAGACTTAATGATTTTTTTGTACACACTTGTTTTTTTGTCTGCTGTATATTTGACCCTGTCAAATTAACTTTTGAAGAATAGGTGATTCCCAAAGCTTTCTTTAAGGTGTACTTTCAACCTTTGAAGT